CATTGTCTGTTAACAGACAATTTGTTAACGGTTCATTTGTATTTGTAAATCTGACTGTAAAAGAGTCAGTGCCTCACCAGCTGTCAACCTCACCGCACGTCACTGGTACAAGGCCTGAGGTTTTCCCACCTCCCTATACTTTTCTCATTTTTGGAAGTAATGACTCCCTCGGCTGTGTTATGCGCAAATTTCAAAATGTTACTGTTGGTGTACAGGGCCGAGTCGCCAGACCTAAAGGTGGAGTCATGGACTGTCAACAGAGAGCAGACCTCAGCATTGATTCATGGTTTCTGGTTCTGGTGGATGGTGACTGTTCTGCTCATATCCTCCATACACTTACTCAGCGGTTGTTCTCAGCCCCCTCCTCCCTCTCTCTCCTCAGGGAGTCTTTGTTGTCATCTGTCAGGTTAACCCCAGTGGTGTCATCTGTGCATTTATTCAAATGGTTTTTCAGGTTTTTGGAGAGATATGAGTTGATAGGCTGCAAAGCAGAGGACTGAGTGCCTGGGCTCAGAGTTACTAAATCAGGGATCTCATGATATTGATCATGATATTGATCATTTATTGATCGTTTCCTCCTCTTTCAGAATCTCCATCAGGTTTTTAAAAGAATGTGGACCTGGAGCCACTGAGACCTTAAAGCTCCACATCCTCCACTGCCTCAGACAGGTATGTCCGAGACAAGAACCTGGGCCCCAGGAGAACCTCTGGGTCAGTGTTTATAGGTGGGAGCACTTGCCACAGTTGACCCTGCCCTGGGTAACGGGGGACTAGATGGTCTGGCTTGTCCTTGCCTCTGCACCCGCCTGCTGCTGCAGCCATCTGGGCCTACCTGTTGACTGTGCAACCGCATCACGAATCCCTTTCCCTGCAGCTTGACTAGCTACAAGATGAGGAGGGCTCCGATGCCCCTGATTGTTTCCGGCTATTGCTTCCTCTCTCTGCTGAGCTGCTGGCTGCTGGGCTCTGCCTCACAGAAACCCACTGTGGACTCCCAGCACCCTCAGCAGGAGTATGCCCACTCCATCCGGCTGGATGGCGACATCATCCTGGGTGGCTTGTTCCCAGTGCATGCCCGTGGAGAGAGGGGTGTGCCCTGTGGCGAGCTGAAGAAGGAAAAGGGCATCCACCGGCTGGAAGCCATGTTGTTTGCCATTGACCTCATCAACAAGGACCCTGAGCTTCTGCCCAACGTGACGCTGGGGGCACGCATCCTAGACACGTGTTCACGCGACACCTACGCCCTGGAGCAGTCACTCACCTTCGTCCAGGCGCTCATCGAGAGGGACGGCTCAGACGTTCGCTGTGCCAACGGAGAGCCACCCATCTTTGCAAAGCCGGACAAAGTGGTGGGCGTCATCGGGGCATCGTCCAGCTCCGTGTCCATCATGGTGGCCAACATCATGCGACTGTTCAAGGTAAGATGATGTTGTCAGGTGACTTCAGATTGTTTGAGTTGGTGTGCTTGCTGTTGTTTTGGAGCACATGGTGATTCAACCTTGGTCAACATCTGGATTGTAGCCATTGCCATGACAAACTGGCAGGAAACGGCTGTGTCAGCTAAATAATCCACCAAAATACTTGGTGCTACTTTGCGTATCTAAGCCAATTTTCCTGCTGTGGTTTGACCAGACATGCCCAAAGGTTTTCATCTGTTATAGCAGCTTTAAAATATTAGAAACTGTTGATACTGCACCACCTGTTTGTCTGTGATCAGGACAAAAGAATCTTTCCGGAGAAGGGAAAGGGGAAAAGTCAGGACATTCAAGTTCCAAAGGTAAAGAGAATAGCAAGTGTGGAGGTATGTTGTGTTGTCATCAGCTCTTCTAATGACAACACAACGTCCTTATTCCCAGAAAACATTCTGCAAATAAGATAACTACAACTGTCAAGGTGCATTTTGGGAAGAAACATCCAATAACCAAGCTTAAAAACGACATTGTTGGGGAAACAGATGTTACAGTCTGCAGGTTAAATCTGCAGTATGTAGATTAAGGTACAGTGCTCCTTCTCCCTGCTCCACCACGCTCTGTCCAGCTCTTCAGATAATTTGTCATTATGAAATTTCAAGAAATGAGAATGCAACAAAGCGTGCTGATCAAGCAGGACTAATTGAAAATCTCTGACTGGTTAGAGAGGTTGATCCTGCTCAGGACCTTTTAGAAGCTCATGTGTCTGCACTGCTGCTGGTGCCGTTCAGTGAGTCTGGGTCACAGGAGGTTTTCACAGCACCTCTCGACATTAAGGCACGATTTGGAGCAGATTTCTACAACAAAAATACTTGGAAAAAGGTACACACTGTAGCTTGAAATCACAACAAGTTTAATTAACAGTGGTTGAATTCAGCCGCAGCTGCACTGATTCATGCCTCTTCTCCATGGCAATGGCAGCAGAGGCCCATGGGTGGTGTAGTACTAAGAGCCATTCACCAAAATCACAGATAAAACCAGATTTCTCAGAAACAAAGCTGAAATGATTACAATAGATGTCCATCACATAAACCTGTATGATCACTACTTTATCCTGGAGCATCTTGTTTTGCTGTGTTAGGGTGGTGTTGAAAGAAAAAACTGTACACAGGAGAAAAACATACCTATTTTACATTTGATCATACTTTAGTAAGAAGCCTTCATGTTTTAAAATGCACTCCTTTGATAATGCAAACGCACCTTTCTCCATGTCTGCCATTCAGTTTAATGTAGTTTCCACATCTCTTATTCCATCAGTAGAAAGTCATGTCGGACTCAGTGCTCTGGAATCAAGTGAAGGAATATTTGTCTTTATATTCTTGTCGGTTGTTGTTGGGGGTCCCTGGCTTGTTTTTTTCCCTTCTGTATGGTAGCTGTGAGTCCTTTATGGCTTTGAGTTGACTGGCAGCCCTAAAATAAAGAAGATGAGTAAAATGACAAGACAAGCTGTGAAATATTCTGTTAGTGGCAGAGAAAGCTTGCTCGCTGCTTCGTGCTCCCTCCCACATTGAGAACGTGTTCGGGCGGCTGTTTCTCACGGTGCGTTGACATAAGAAGTTGATCCCAGATGTTGCCTTGTCTAATTCAGTGTGTGCAGACAAACTGTCTGCT